ATTTGTAAATATTTATAAGTATTTTATTTATTTTTTTTTCAATAAGCTTAACAGGTTTGCAAACTTTCAAATCAAACTCAAACCAAACCTAAACCAAGCCAAAAGTTTGATATTTAAATCTAAACCAAACTATACTTTAAAAATAGTTTAAGTTCAAGTCTAGTTTGAATTTCAAACTAGACTTAGACTTGTCTAAAGTCTGGTCTCAGTTCAGATTCATAGAAGTACTATATACAAGAGCAGAAATAAGTAATAGTAGGATGTATAGGTTAAGCTATAGTATAAATTACCAAAGTTTAAATGAATATATAGGTAAACATGTACTACTCTAGTGGGTTTATCTCAAAAATAAATTAGTCAAAAATAGTTAGTAAATCTTAAAATAAAATATTTAAATCCAATAGTAAATAGTAAAATATATATATAATATTAAGCAATACTAGAGTTAGGATCTTTATTAGCTTAGAAATAAATTATGATTAGAGTATTTAAATAGATAATTTCACAGTTGGGTTATAGGTATAGCAAATAGTATAGAACTCTAAATAAAGTGGCTTAGATGCAAACTATTTAAATTAGGCTCCAAAAATGTGGCTTGATATACTCTTATTATAACTGAAATAAATTCTAATAAAACAAACTCAGATCAAAGAAGTTATCTCAATATCAAAAAAAAAAAATAAATAAATAAAGTACAACTAGCTATAATCAGACCTTCATAAATATACATTCTTAGAACCACACTTTAAACTTATAAAAAGTGCACTTAGAGAGGTCTGTATACTTTTGGTATCTAATTTAAACCCAAAGATTTTACACTAGTTGCTATACCTACAATCTACTATATATACATTTATATACAGTATATATTTATATATATATATTTTATTTATAAATTAAGCATTTAATATTTTCAATTACACCAATTACTTTTTAATTTTTTAAAATATACACTGTAGATAGCAATTGTAAAATTAAACAGATAATTTTGGTTAATTTTTTTTATTGTTTAGTTTATATTATACAGTATATATATATATATATATACATAAAATAAGAAATAAAATTTTTGCATTTATATATAAATAACAAATCTATAAAAATATTTGAGAATGTGGTTAGACATTTGTCTATATTGTTTTATATTTATTATTTAAATATCTATTTATTATGCCATAAGAAATTTTTAATTGTAGACCAATGATCGGAATCTAAGTATAAATACTGCATTGACCCTTGTAAAGATGGTTGTAACACATCGCGATCGTGACGAAAGAGCCACATAACAACACCCCACACTACAGCTGCAAATACTGGGAAGGTGTGTTTTGGTTCACCCATCACTTGGCGTTTTACCGGTAATTTAGCCAACCCAAACATGATTCTTGAAAAGACATAAAGCACAATCTGTTCCAGGTTAGGATGTGAAAAAGAAAGTAAATATATGTCTATGTATTTATGTGTAGAAACAATTGCATTGAGGATTAAAAAGAAAGACTTACCTGTTGATTAACCCTATTATTATCACCGAAAACAATATATCCACCAATTAATCCGGCTATAAAAGAATGGCCGTTTTGCTCCACGTCACCATTAATTTTTTTTTGCAAATACATCAAAGTCTTATATATTGTAACAAAAAATGCGAGATTTTTTGAATGCTGAATTGTTGCATCGAGTATAATCGTCATTTTATCCTTCAAGCTATTCATTGACGAATTTAGAATATTAACGAAATATCTACTTTTTCAATTGATAAATCAGTGAATGAACAGACCTTCCCGAACCAAATAAAAAGGTCATAACTAAAGCGTGGGGAAATCTGATCTTCGCACCGTAGACTGCTCCATTACGGAAACCTTTGACGATGGCAAGAACATCTCGATGCTCCGGCTTGTTAATGAACTGTGTGATGGAGTCCATGCAGTAATAAGGAGAAAGATGCGCGTTACCCACCGAGTTCTACAATCCACGTGCGAGGACGTCGGAATTATGGGGTATCCATTGAAAACCAGTTAACCTAATATTCAAATTTTGGGCAATAATATGTGATGCGGCCAGAATTATGAATTTAATTTCTTAATGCCGGCCAAATGCAGGAGACACTTTAAACCACAAAATAAAATCTTGCCTTACCGGAATTATACGTACTATGGTGAAAATTGACGCCCTAATTTATTACGTAAATTTGGCGTATTTGATGACAAGTTCATATCGATATACTTCGCTATAGTTTAGAGGCACTTTTTTAGAACCCTATCAGGAACGGTACGTGCGTAAATTAATTTTAGCATCAGAACTTAATATACTGTAAGTTATATACTGTAAATTTTGTACCCTAATTTATTCTAGTCTTTAAAAAAAATTGCAGCACCCTGTCCACGTGTACCGGTAGGCCCCTCCAGGGGTCTAGACACTAACCTATGTAATTATACCACAAAAAATTTTCCGGTCACATGACTTTATCGTG